GAGAGAGAGAGAGAGAGAGAGAGAGAGCACCAACAACAAGAAGGATATGTCAAAAAAACAAGAAAGCAAATTTGGATTACTCTATTGGGACCGCCCTTTTGATTTGCATAGTCTTGTAGTCAAGGGCAGTGCTAACTAAAAAATCATTGTAATATTGTTTTGGCTCAATCGAGTACTTAATATAGACAATAAATTAAGAAAGAAAAAGACTATGCATGCACTTGGCCTCTAACAGGGGCGAATTCTTATTCGTGAGGCGCCGCATGAGGATTACAATGCGAGGGGTGTCCCCCACATAGAAATCACAATTAAAATACTAAAAATATGATTAGATTGTTAAAAGAAGAAAATGTGTAATTGTTTGACAGATGGGTGTCACTTATACGCTTCCCTTGAAATTTTGCATCTTGGGAAGAAAATCTAGTAGCCTAAAAGGAAATTCTAGTATGGGGCACTAAACTTATTTCTTTAGGCTAAACGATCATCTGTCCAGATTCTTTCCCAGGTAAACTTATTTATTTTTTACACAGGCTACTAAAATGACCATTTCTCATAAACACACTAGACTCAACTAGTATGCCCAATCGTGTGTAATAGTAATAATAATCTAAACGAACATCTAGTTCTCCTGCTCTAATTGTTTCATTTTTGGGCGGCAAATTTCTAAACGAAACTACTTCACGCACAATCTTTTTTACGATGCTTAGATGTGGTTGTGTGCCCCGATAGATGATTACATGAATGGGCATGATTCTGTGCCGTACCAAGAAAATCGTATTGGGTAGCTTGGTTACTTTATTTTATTTTGGCTCATTCCCGATCACCTACCTTTCCATACTACAGTACTATATACCGTCCGTCTATAATGGAAGAAGTACAGAAACATTGCCACCCATATATACCATCTTCCTTCTACTAGTGATCCATCGTCAAGCAACTCTCCATATACATAAATGATCATACAACCAGACTGCGACCTTCGACATTGAGGAAGAGTTGTGGTTCCATGAAAAGTGTCTGCTCAGCCTCTTGCGAGAGCCATTCTTGTCACCCGAGAGTTCAAGAGTGCCCCTTTTATCCAAGGTTAATGAATCAGTAGCAACCTACTATTTTGCCATGTTTTTACCATCAGCTGCTCTTTTTCTTCATCTAGTAGGCTTCCATAAGACCACGCCATATGATTCGATTGAACAATGTGCGAAACATGACCCTGTACGATTTATTATATTCAACTGAAGGAAAAATTATATACTCCACACCCTATCATAAGCTACTCTTTGCCTTGTTTTCATATTTTGTTGATTTAAAATACAATAGCACACTAAAACCTTGTTTTCACCTTGTCCCTGATCTAGTAGGCTAACCCTCATATCTTTAAGTTAATTCACAAGGTTAAGCATATGCCTCTTTGAGTTGCAAAATTGCGCTATTCACCAAACTATATGTTTCATTTGGACTAAAAGTCGGTTACACTGAACCTTCAAAAAAAATGTTTCCATTTTTTTTAAGAATGCTGAATTTCTACTATTCTGCATTAAAAGAGAACATCCAAATGACGCTACACTTGTTGCAGTCAACAAACAAAATCAGAAAAGAACACAAAAACCAAAGATCAAAGAATAAGAAGTAAAGCAAATTGTACATCTATCCTACTGCTACAACTCGGTCACATCACGTGTTGAGCATGTTGTGCCAGTGAGCAACCAAATTTAGTGTCTGTCAGTTCTCAACGAAAGCAACGTATTGTTTCCTCTGTTTTTGTGGTAGATCATAGCGGAGGAACGCTTGCAGTTTTGAAATTCAGAAGCACAGCTAAGCCATGCCACATCATTACAATCAAGGATATAATTTGGATATAATTTCTGAAGCAGCCAAACAAATATGCATAGCATAACTACTATCCCGAGAGGGAATCGATGCAAACCTCCAGAATCACCCATTCTAAATTCGCAATAAGCTCCAGCTACCATCTCTGCTTGATCACTTCTGGAGCTTCAAATCCTTCAAGAATTCGGCGAACGCCATCCGCGACGGCCCGCCGTCCGCCAGCGCCTCCGCCGCCTTCTCCTTGGCCAATGCCAGCCTCCCCCGGAGCTTTTCCCCTTCGCCCGACTCCATCACCAGCCTCACCTTCTTCTCCACCTCCTCGGCCTTGACAAGCTCCTCGTCGTACCCTTCCATCACCACCCCGAGCTTCATCTCGTCCACCACGAACACCTTGTTCGCCCTCTGCTCCGCGTACTGCGCCCAGCACAGCATCGGCACCCCGGCCGACGCCGCCTCCAAGACGGAGTTCCACCCGCAGTGCGTCACGAACGCGCCGGTCGCGGCGTGCCGCAGCACCTCCACCTGCGGCGCCCACAGCTTCACAACCACCCCCCTCCCTTGCGTCCTATCCAAGAACCCATCGGGGAGGAGCGCATTCAGGTCTGGCTCTGGGCGCGGCAGGAAGTATTTGGCCGGGTCCTCGGGCGGGCTCCGCACGACCCACAGGAAGCGGTGGCCGGAGTTCTCGAGCCCGCGCGCTATCTCCTCGAGCTGCCCCGCCGACATCGCGCCCAAGCTGCCAAAGCAGAGGAACACCACGCTCCGCTCCGGCTGCGCGTCCAGCCACGACAAGCACGCGCCCTGCGCTTGTGCAGCCGCCTCGCCATTCACGATCAGTGGCCCGATGCAGTACACCGGCGGGGTCGGGCGGCCAGGGACACACACCCCGTCCCTGAGCGCCGTCACGGCCCTCGCCTCCAGCCACTCGTAGGTGTTGATCAGCAAGCCCCGGGCCTCCGGTTTGCGCCCGTATTGCCCTATCCGCACGGCGCAAGTCCGGCTCGCGCGCTCCTGCACGATCTGGGGCATGTCCGAGGCAGGGATCGGCGGGACGCCGGGGAAGCGGAGGAGACCCTTGCCCATGTCCTTGAAGTCGCCACCGTCCGTCGTGGCGAGGTAGTGGGGGAGGTGGAGGAACGCCGCGAGGTCGGCGGCGGAGGAGGTGTAGTAGAGGTACGCCGGGACGTCGAGTTCGGCAGCGGCATCGAGGGCGTCGACGCAGAAGGTGTCGAGGACAAGGGCGGCGACGGAGGGGAGGGAGCGGAGGAAGGCGAGGAGGGACGGCACGGTGAGGCGGAGCGCGTCGACCATCTGCAGGTAGGGGTCCGGGTCCGGGTTGGGGTATTCCGGCGCCGGGAGGTGGTGGAAGGAGATGGTGGGGTTGGCGGCGGCCACGCTGGCGACGGCGGGGCCTGAGGAGGCGAAGATATCGGCGGTGGAGGCCGGAGGGGTCGGGACGGCGATGACGACGGGGATGCCCCGGCGAAGGAAGAGCTTGGCGAGCTCCACCATGGGGATAAGGTGGCCCACGCCCAAGCAGGCGTGCAGCACCACCGCCGGATGGGGATTGGCCTCCATTGGCGACTGCCGACGACGATGCGGTCAAGGGCGTGAGAGTGAGACTAGAGAGTGGGTTTTCCTTTTTTTTCTTTTCCTGAGGCAAATCTTGTGGATTTTCTAGCAGTTTTGTTTTGAGCGAGCGGGCTTTGTATTGGCAGATTATGGCCCATTAATCAGCTGATTAGAACTGATTATTTCAAACAGAAAAAGATAAAAACTAAAAAGAAAAATTTACACAGATCTCAGTGTAAGATCTCATGAATATAACAACAACTAAACGACGTCTCAGTCGACCCAGATTTAGCAAGATTGAAAAAACCTTTTCTCGGACGAATGAGAATTCAACACCTTTGGCCCGAGAGGACTAGCAACCCAATGAAGAATCCAATGTCAAAGAACGGACGCCGCCGACGCCATTAGACCACGCTGGCCACATCCATCACAAAGAAAGCCACTCCTAAACAAACCCCACAGCTAGTGGCGAGGCACTGTGAGGGCCATCTCGGGCCACCGCCCCAAGGCCACAGATTTTCTTTAAGTATCGCTTACCAAAAGTCA